CACATTTATTATTTGTGAAGAGGATGTGTCCCCCCTCACAATTAAAAAAATATTTGTTTGATCACCCCGCCCCCCCCCCCCCACACACACACACTAAAGACTAATATCTCTCCTGCATGGTCCATTCTGTTTTGATTTTTATTGTGCTTGAACACTTTACCTTTCTCCAAGAGGAACACTTGACAGAATATAAACTGTTCGTCTATCAAAGTTAAGTCAGGTCCTCTGGATGGATTCTCCTTTGTTGAAACGTTTCATCTTTTATCCAGAAGACTTCTTCAGTCTGAGGAGCTGCATTTTTTTTTTTAATTGAGCTTTTACTGTGTAGGGGAACACCTCACCTTGAAAAACGAATCTTATTTTGACAGTTTCAACATCAAAACACAGTATTGTTTTTATCTATTCCCTTAGGAATGAACAGACATCATTTTACAAATATTGTCTCAGCTCACAAACTTCCTAAGCTGATACTAATATAATAAATATATTCTATGTTAACTGTTTAAACTCAATATGAACTCAACAACCAAGGCCTTTATATGAAACTGAGAAATAATTAAAAAAAGGCTTTGTTCCAAACATCCGAACTCGATACGTTGATGTTTTGTCTCTACGTCACAGTAATTGCACATTCAACTTAAACAGAGTTCAGCTTAGAAATAAACCAGTTCTAAGTCTGCCTTTAAAGTTTCAGCAGTTTTACTCATCAGTCAGACCTTTGATTCAAAGCCATTTGATGTTCGGCATTGTTTTCTTATGTCTATTTTTCACCATATATATATAACAGATTATTATTTTTTAGAATAAAATACATAAAAAATCAACTGAATTTGTAATTATTTTGGCTAATCTGTGTGTATTAATTGATTTGATCCCCTTTAGACACGAGAAAAGAGCTCACGTTCATTTTATATTATTTTGGGGGTAAATAGAGACTGATTTTCCTCTAAGAGAGAGGTGGTGCCCACACAACAAGGTTATTTGCATAATGCATGCATATCTTATGAGCTTAACTCATAACTGATAATCAAAACATATATTTACACTCCATATCGCTACAACTGCTTTTGTAAGCAAATCAGTTTGACATGATTTAAAAACGTATTTCAAAGAAAGGAAGATATAAGATTTCTTAGATTTTCACAGGTCGGTTGGAGTCAGTCTCCCCACCATCACAGACATCTACACCTCCAGATGCAGGAAGAGGGCCACCTGCATCATGAAGGACCCCACTCACCCAGCACACACACTTTTTGCCCCACTCCCCTCAGGAAGGAGGTTGAGGAGCGTTAAGTGTAGAACCACTAGACTGAGGAACAGCTTCTACCCTGAAACTGTTAGACTCATGAATCTCTAATCAAGATAATCACTGTAAAAATTACTGTAAAAAAAAATCACTGTAATGCCACTTAGGTGGTTGATATGTGCTGCTGACTATCCATGCTGCTGATCTCATGCTGCTGATGCTGTGTTCATTCATCCTCATCTGCTCACACGGACTCATGTTCGTGCTGCTGTTGTTTTGGCGTGTTGATTTTGCACTATTGCTGCTTAGTGTATTCTTAGTTTAGTGAATGTGGTATATTCTTGGTTCGTGTCTCGGATCTTACTAATGTTTTTCTTTACAATTTGTATTTTTGTTGGATGTAACTGGGACCCTGTGTACATAGTTTCGTTCCACCTCATGTACCACGTGTGAGGTGGATGACAACAACAATCCTTGAATCTTTGTTTATTAACAAGCGTCAGCAGAATATTATAGTTATCAACCGTCGGCGGACGCGTGCGGCTGATGATCCAAATTGGGTTGTCGACCGCATGTGCTCGTTGAAGCAGCAACTGAGTCCAGTTAAGTTTCAGGTGGGTCGCTGGCAGTGATCCATCTGGACTTTTTTATATCTTTTTCAACCGGCTGCGCTCGGCCGCACGTCTCCGCTGACACAGTTGAATTTAACAATCAAACCCGTGTTCAGCGTCAAAATGAATTTAGTCTAACAGGTCATGTGATTTTCCTGAGCTCAGCGTTTGTGTCTGTAATTAACGAGAGAACAAACAGTTCAGAACCATCAGCACCCTTCAACAACCGCAGCATTTCTCTCAGTCCACACCTCTGTTTGACTTGCCAACCCCCCTGTTTCTTTTTCCACTGCCCATTTCCAAGCCCCCCCAATTAAGGATCAATATGAATCTATTCTGAGCCTAACCACATCAGGCTGCAGCTCAGTGGAAAACCAAACACCACACAAAGCACACACAGAGGCCACAAGAAGCAGAAAAATCACTGTGCAGGAACAAAGGTCACAGGAAAGTGCTGGTGTTGGTTCTTCTCAATCATCCAGTACGGGATGGTTAGGTTGAATCGAAGACAACTGGACATATTTAATAAAGCCAGGAGAAGTTTTACTACTTACATAAGAACTGAAACAACTTGACATTTTTTGAAAACGAGTCAAGTTGCCTTTGATTGAACTCTAAAGAGGAGATGAGACGTGCAGTTCACACAACAGCCATAGGGTGGCGCTGCAGGCTCGGCCCAGTTTGGGTCCAGCTGCTTTGCTGGATTGTAAAGGTCAACTACTGTAGTTAGTTTCTTTGTGGCAATTTCATTTCCACATTACAGAATAAATAATAATAATAATAATAATAATAATAATAATAATAATAATAATGGAACGGAGCAAAAATTTAACATCCTTAGGAAACAGGATGTCTGCACGTAATGAATAACAAACAGAAATGATGAGCAGAAAAATAATAAAAACTCTTCTTTCATTTACAGCTTGTGCTACAGTCATGACGACCGTGAACACAAGAACCGCTGAACACTTTCCTGCATCGTGGCACTTATTTAGACACGCTGCCACCTCTAAACCAGTTTAAACGTTTATATTTAAAAGATTCACAGGATAAAAATTGATTTTTGAAAAAGATTTAATATGCAGCTCATCCTGTGGAAACAGCTAACTGACAGTTGTAAAAGTTAACTCAATCCATCCATCCATCCATGCATCCATCCATGCATCCATCCATCCATCCATCCATCCATCATCTTTACCTACTTCTTGCTTTTTGGATCATTGGTGCCCACAACCAGCAGTCCCTGTGCGAGAGGTGGAGGACACGTGGACAGGTCTCCAGTCCATCACAGGGACACACAAAGACAAACAACCATTCACTCCCTCACTCACACCTAGAGACAATTTAGAGTTACCAATCAGCCTAACATGCATGTTTTTGGTCTGTGGGAGGAAACCGTAGTACCCGGAGAAAACTCACACAGATCAGAGAGAACATGCAAACTCCACCCAGAAAGGCCCCCAGCTGGGATTTGATCCAGAAATGTTCTCACTGTGAGGCCGCAGCTCTACCAAGCCGCCCGTCTTCTTCATCAGCTGATAGATTATATTCTTATTCACAGCCCCCCCCCCCCCCCCGCCCTGCACTGCACACCCTCTCCTCCCTCACATCCTTTCCAACAGACTACAGCACAAAATAAAACACTTCCCCCAAAAATGTCTTATTTATGTTTTATTAAAGTTTAGCTTTAAATGAAGAAAAGTCTAGATTGAGCCTTAGAACAGTTTTCAGAATTTTCTTCTGTCAATGTGTGTGTACGTGCACGTGTGTGTGTGTGTGACCTGACCCAACACCTGAGCTGCATCATCCTTCAGTTTATTTAATGCTCAGCCAAAGTTTTCTGCAAGAATCACCTTGTTGGTGCTAACACTACATCAAACTGTTTCTTTTTTTTAACTTTTAAAAAACTGTTAAAGAAACAGAAACAAATTGTATCTTTGTGAGCGGCTGCTATAAAAGTGGCTAAATTAAAGTAAAAGCAGCTTATTTATTTAGTTTTTATCATGAGCGGAACAGCATCCTTTGAGTTTAGGAGACTTTATTTTTTTGTATCAGAACGATTTAAATATCAGAATGAAAAAATAAATCAGGCAAGAGATCTGACTGATCAGGAGTGATTAAATAAAATAAAATTAAATAAAATTAAGAGGAATGTAAACTTGTATCAAACATGATCCCACTCACAGAGCTGCTGTTAACTCTGCTGTGGAAAATGACTCTAATGACTCTAAAAAGGGAACATCCATTATTTTCTACCTTTAGGCTACAAAGTAATTTAATCCCATCCCTCTGATGAACTCTTACTCTCATTCTCACTGACATGTCATCATTTAACTAAAACTTACAGATCTTGTATGTTTAAAATGTTGGGTTATTAGGTTGCAGTTCCTGAGATGTCAAAGAAGTTTTTGACCACCATCAGTCTCAACTGTTTTATAATTTCTGGATTGTATTATTAAATATAATTATCACACACAAAAAAGATACAATCCTTCGCTCCATCTTACCTGGAAATATAGTTTATTTGTGGTTTTAACGGCTCATCATCAACGTTGCTATTTTTATTGAGAGCCTGATCTTCCCATGAGCCTCTTTGGTAAACTGCTCTGTAAACACGTGGACGGTGGAGGCGGAGTCAGGCTGGAAAAGGAAGCAAGGCTGTGATTGGTCAATGGGAACGGGGGGGAGGGGGGTGGCGGCATGGATCTGAAAGAGTGATTGAATGGAACAGAGAGTTACAAGATGGGAAGGGGTTGGAGTGGGGGGGCACAGAGAGGGGGGAACAGATGGAGCACCGCGGAGCCTAAAACATTTGTACCCAGGACACACAGCATGTGTGACAGGAGGAACTCTGTGTGGGACAATAATCCTGAAGCTGTGAGCCTCTCTCCTGCCCTCTGGACTGGACGCTGGGAGAAATAATCCCAACGAGAGAGAAACAGCCGTGAACAGACGGGTCAGCAGAAAGAAGACGACTGAACTCTTCTGCTCTTCTGGAGCAGGTGCAGGCCGGTCATTTCAGCGAGCTGATAATCCGTGAACATGACTCCTCAGTCCTGATAAATGTCAGAGACGGTATCAGGACATTTTGTTTATTCAGGTCGACCTTGTTCCTGGTTTGGTTTTTGTTCCTAAGAGGAGCACAGCATCTCTGTCGGAGCTCGAGCGGTCTTAGTAGCTCAGGAAGCCCGTCCAGAAGGACTCTATGGTGAAGATGAGTCTGGACCCTGTGCAGGTGATGAGTGGTAAGGTCAAGGAGCTGAAAGTTTCCTCTTCATCCAACGGAGACACCAGAGGATCATGGGAAGAGAAAGAAGAGTTTGACCAGAGTCAGCTGAGTCCTAGTGCCAAGCCGAAGCCAGTAAGTCTCAGCAACCACCGAGAGCTAAAATAAACCGATGTGTGCGTCTCTTTTTACCAGAAGTTGTCCTGGCCAGTTTCACACCAAACGTCCCTCTGTCCTTCCCTGAGACCACCATCTGCAGAGAATATACCGAGACGTACGTTTCTGTGTGCAGCTTAACTTACACTTATAACGCAAAAAAAGTGTCAAAACTTTATCGATGCTTTGAGGCACACTCATCTAAAAATTGATGTTTATGTATGTTCAAGATTTAATGGCTACAAAAGCAACCAAACTATGATTTTCAATGTTTAATTCTGATTATTCTCACGGGGTTATCACAAATAAATTATAGCTAAATTGTTTCCAATTACATGAAGTTGAAAAATATGATGCATGAGCAATGTAGCAAACACGGAGCACTCAAGCTGGCTTTCATTCCAACTTCTGATTATGGCCTGTCCATGACTGTAAACATTTATTCTCTTTATACGACACTAATAAGTCGGTACGTTGTGTACAAATGTAAATAAATACAAAAGACAATGATTTGCAAAACTCATTAATCCACATTTTATTCACAATGGAATATAGTAAACATCAAATGATGAAACAAAACAAAAAAAAACCGAGCAATTTCTGAAAAAAAAAAAAGATAATGTTGAAATTAATGACAGAAAAAAAACTGGAGGAGTTTCTCTTCAACACATTTTCCTCAGTGTGGTATCTCCTCTTTCAACAACGGTCTGTGAACATAAAGGAACAACCAGTCAGAGGTTTTGAGAGATCATTTGTCATAATCTTGTCTGATGCAGCTGTCCAGCTGTTCAACATGGATGGATGGTTTGATGGATGGATGGATGTTTGGTTGAATGGATGATGATGGATGGGTGCATGGATGGTTGGATAAATGGATGGATGAATGATGGATGGATGGGTGGATGGATGATGTTGGATGGATGATGGATGGATGGATGGATGGATGATGGATAGATAGGCGGATAGGTGGATGATGGATGATTGATGGGTGGATGGATGATGGGTAGATGGATGGCTGGATGGGTGGCTGGATGATGGTTGGATGGATGATGGATAGACAGGTGGATGGATGGATGGATGGCCAGATGGATGAACGATGGATGGATAAATGGAGGATGGATGGATGCAGTCTCCAGTTTAGCATCATCTTGAAGTATTCCAGGTCTTCCCTGATGAGGCGTTACTTGGATGGAAGCTTCTATTGTTCTACAACCTGTTTAAACATTTCTGTGTTGATGGAACCTTTCCACATGTCTTTCCTGTCTGTGCTACAGTCACTAATGCACCCATATACCATCAACGAGGCAGACATTTGAACTGTGCTCTGACAACAGTGTCTGGATGTGGAGGATGTGGTTTCCCAGAAAGGTCAAATTTTGATTCGTCTGACCACAGAGCACTCCTTCTCTCTGCCTCAGTCCATTTTAAATAGACAGTTTCTATGTGTGGATCATGGTCAGAGTACGTAATGAAGATAAACGGAACAGGACCAGCACAGATAGAGGACTGTGTTCACACTGTGAGCCGGACTATATTCAAAGTCTTCCTTATTTTCCAGTGAGAACCATCAGTCTATATTTTTCCACAATTTTCAGATGTCTATATGCGCAGACAGGTGAACCTGTGCCCATCTTTACGTCTGAGAGATTCAACCTCTCTGAATGTTCTTTTGTGACCTCTTGATCTAACCGGCCTGTTGTGAAGTAACCTTATTAGTTGCAAAGTGCTCCTCCAGCTCTCGCTTTATTAGCACCACTTCTTTCATCGGCCCTTGCGCTCTTGTTTGACGTGTTTCTGGCATGAAATTAAATGGTTCAGTTTCTTAGTTTTTTTTTAAGTACAACTGTGAATAAACTGTAGGTTTGTGAATATTGCAAATCTTTATATTCTCTTCTTCTTTACGTTTTATACAATGTTCAAAGTTGTTAGAAATTGGGTTTGTATGGATTGTTTTTGTCCAAGATTTAAAGAAAATGCTGAAACACCCATCCTGTGCCACAAGGTGGTGAAAACCATCTGCGTACATAACTGGAGTGGAAGTCATGTGACCTGCACATATCACTGAGCAACATTTTTATTCATTAAGCAGAACATTTCATGGTGTAAACAAACCTACACAAAGGGTTCAGTGGCTAAATCTGTAGAAGTTATGACGAGTTTACAGAGCTCAAGGGAATTACTCTAACAAGGTTGAGTCAGGTCATCTAGATCGATTCTTCTTTGATGAAATCTGTAGTTTTTATACAAAAGACTTCTTCAGTCTGCAGAAGTCTTTTGGATAAAAGTCTTTAGGCTAAAGTCTTCTTCAAACTGAAAAAGTCTTTTGGATAAAGACTCATTCAGACTGAAGAAGTATTCTAAGTTTCTTTAATGAATGACTTCTTCAGAATGAAGAAACCTTTTGGATAAAAGACTTCTTCAGTCTGAAGAAACCTTTTGGGTAAAAGACTTCTTCAGACTGAAGAAGTCTTTTGGATAAAAGACTTCTTCAGTCTGAAGAAACCTTTTGGGTAAAAGACTTCTTCAGACCAAAGAAGTCTTTTGGATAAAAGTGTTTTGGATAAAAGACTTCTTCAGACTGAAGAAGTCTGAAACTGTATAGCTTCTTCAGACTGAAGAAGTATTTTGGATAAAGTACTTTTTCAGACTGAAGAAGTCAGACAGTTAAACATTTCGTCTTTTATCCAAAAGACTTCTTTAGTCTGAAAAAGTCTTGGCATATCAGGCCTGCCAGGTCCGGGTGGACAGATCAGCATCTGTGGTTAGTTTCTTCAGATCCTCTGAGGGACGGACCACTACAGGAGATCCTTCCTGCCCACAACCATCAGCATCTATAACAACTCGTTAACGAGCAAGAACATTTAATTTCCCTTCAGGATGAATAAAGTATTTCTGAATTGAATTAAGACTGGGAGTCTGAGCTGTGGCATGGATCAGCTGAGGCTGGCTGGCTCAAGAAGAATCAGAGTCTGGGTTTGGATGAGATGCGTCTATCTTGGTCTCAGGTGTGATTAATAAATACATGTTCAGCTTGTTCATCATGCACAGACATGGATTAGTACTTTAACCTCACCAGTCACAAGAACACATGAGCTTTCTATGTTTTCACACAAGTTAAATATATTACAGTGATCAAAAATCACACATTGCAAGTAAAGTCATTAAGAGATAACTAGGAGTTTGTTATAAACTCTTTTCTACATTCAAGCTGACATGTATTGGTTTTGTCACCGCTACTCATGCATGATAATGGCACATGCGCGTGCATGTCCTTATGCATAGAAACCAATTGATGACGTCCAACCCAGTAATGTAGGTCGATGGTGAGAACGTCCACTTTAACGTATATACAAGTACAGAGAAGGAACTTTCTCACTGTAGCTTGGCTGGCTCTACTGGAGTACATTTTAAAAATAGAGTACTCTATCATTATTATTATTATTATTATTATTATTATTATTATTATTATTATTATTGTCTGAGTGATTAAGTCTAGGCATTTGGACGTTTTCTTAAATAGCCCTGGATCTCAAGACAAGATATTAAAAACGACACTTCAAGTCAAATCAAACTGTGAGAATCTGTCTGTCTTGTGCTCTTTCTTTAGATTTTTGTGTTTATGTTCCAGTGTGTCCTGTCTTCTCCGGTGTTTTTCCTTCGTATGCCAGCTCCTTGCTTCACCTGCTCCCAGTCACCCCAGGTGTTCATCGTTATGTCTCATTATTGTCCGTTCATTTCAGCGTCTTTGTGTTTACTGGTTGTCCGTGGATTGTGCTTCCCACGGCCGTTCATGTTCTGTTCCTCGTGTCTCCTCGCCATCTCTGCTGCCACGTCAGCCTTTTTGTTTTTTCTTGTTGATACGTTAGTTTATTTTTGTTTTTATCCCCGAGCTCCCAGTGTCTGATTGCACTTAAAATACTCAGACCATGAAAGAGGCATTGAGTTCTTAAAATATTCATGTTTATCTGATCACACTTTGTATTTTATACAAGCAGCATCCACTGTAATAAAGTCCAACGTTACGAGTTTGTGCCTGTCTTGTGGGTGACTGAGAGAAGCAACAACAAAAGTATCATTTCATTAAAGAATACACGTCCCCCATCTGAAGACAAAGCGTTAAAGCATTGAAGGAATGCATATCACCCATCTCTTTTCATGCCAGAGTTTTAAACTAAGGTCATCTTATGATAAGAAACGCCATAGTTGTAGCCGTTTTTAATGACACTTTGAAAATATAATGCACAATGTCGTGTAGTATTATAAGATGTTTTCCCCAGGAAAGGTTTTTTAGAGTAACAGTGACAGTACATACTGCTTAGTAGCAGTGTGTACTGTCACACTCCAGTGTTAGGATGTCTGCCAAGACATGAGCAGACTGCATCATCCCTGGCCTTTACCTTATCTATAAATAACTGCTACACCCCCCCCCCCCCCCCACCACCATGGTCTGCTCTCACCTCTTTCTGTTTCTCACTGTCGCCCTTCAGTCCTGCTGCTCTTTGGGAATCCCTTCCATCTCTCATGTCTGTGGGCTTTTATGTGCAAATAAAAGCTGACTCATGGATTAGGATTATACTCTGATGTCAGATCAGGGATCAGGATTATTCTCTGATGTCAGCGCTGCTGATCAGGATTACGGCACGCAGAAAAATGATGACTTCAAGTTGAAATATCACACGGATGTCCAGGGTTTATTTCTCAGAATTTAATTCTTTGCTAATGTAATGGTATGTTTGCACAGAACGAGTCATGTGACTGATGTTTGCCTGTTGGGTAACGGGGACAGGACTGATAATTAACACTTCCAGTGTCAAATCACAGCCAAGAACTGGACTCTGGTTCTGGGATCTCTTCCAGACAGTGTGACATGTTATTCATAGAGTAAACTGACTCTAACCAATAAGCTGTACTGAAGCTTTCATACATCTGTTTATGAGCACCGCCATGTCTTCTGACCGAGTGGGGTAGTCTATGTGATACTCGGTTATACAGAGTATACCCACTAGAAAACCTTAAGAATTTCAGTATACCCACGTAAAAGTGCCCAATGATGCATGACATATCATTAGGTAAATGTCATTGATACATTAAACGGTAGTTAAACACTTCTGTAACAATATATCGGTATGCAGCGCTTTGCTTTGATACTGCTTTATAAATTCTATAACATCTTTTTAATACAAAGCCAGCTGTTGTATGTAGTTTGTTCATTTATTCAAATATAAGCATCAGAGAAATTTGGAAATGTTCAATATGCTTAAAAATCAAAATGAATTGACGATTACATTGTACTAACCAGTGTACTTTGGTTTCAAAGCGCAGTATACCCACTACAATACATACTACTACTATACACCACTGTTCTGACCTGTACATGTGGTTCGTTCCAACAAACGTGTTGCGTACAGTTTGCTGTATTTGTTCACAACTTCACAAGAGTTCATGAAAAATCTGCATGATCTATGAAACTATGGAAGCAAAGTGAAAAGCTGCAGAAAGATTGTGCTGAATAAAAACAAACTGTCGTTCTGCTAAGGTGACAGGGAGACGAGCCCGGAAAGTGGAGGGAGGCGTGTTCTTTGTAAGTATGTCCCTTCATCACTAAAGGTTCAATGTTGTGATGCTTTCCCTTCTTCTTAATGTTCTCTGTGGCGGCTGATGCTCCTGCATGACCATGGACACACCCTCCTTACTAACCAGCAGCTCGACCCAAAGCATGGTCATGTTGTCTCACTGTTCTAGAAGTCCCCGTGTGGACTGAGCTGACGAATCTGTGTTCTCACATGAATGATGTACGTTAGGTGACAGATGGGCTTATGTCAGTCCAATTGATCCCTAGAGTATATATTTAGCTTTGAATTAAACAAAATAAATTGACATTGACCAAAAAAGTATTCACAGGGAATGGTCCGGTTTGCATGACATTTGGTTTACATACAAATCAGAGACAGGAGTGATCGGATTTACAAGAAGCTGCAATCAGAGCAGGTATATAAAGACTTGTTTGCAGTACAATAGTGTTATCAGGCAGCTGTTGGAGGGTTCAAACACTAAAACCACAATACTCTAGAATGGCCAGTAACAGCGACAGTTGAGATTTTTGCACGCCATCTTGCTAGGTGCTGTTTTTCACTAAATCTTCTACGTCGACGCAACATAACAATGTTTTCTCTGTGCTGTGAAAACCCTGCAGTTTCTCGTAAGAGATTATCCTGTTTGGTCAAACATTAGCAGCTTCAAAACACCGGCGGGGGTGCTCTGCCACTACTGGAATAAAACTGCCAAGTTCTGTAACCATTAAAGCCAAACCAGAACGCACCTACACTAAAAGTAATGAAGAAATTTCCACGTCCTTGTAGTCGAGAGCTCAGTCCAGAGTTCTGCTCCCAGTGTCTGAAGTTCATTTTACTCAGACTACTAACAGCCTAAACATGTATACTGTGGCCTTTTTCATCATAATTCTGGTAATATTTAGCTTTTAAATATAATATAGACTGCAGTATGGATAACTAAGCTTTTAGTTCACTATTATTTAGCTCATATTTTATCCATTAAAAAGGTCAAACCAGTTGGTAAACTAATATAAAACAGTTATGAAAAATTATGTTAACACAGATATATTTTCGAGTCAGCTGGTATTTGTTTATTCTTAGCACAGTCCTTACTCTAATTATAGTGTTATAATGTGGAGAAATCAAAAGCCCTTGCATAACAATACAATGTACACTAGTATTTCCATTGAGAATAAGAAAAATGAAAAGTTTTATGCCTAATGAGACATTTCATTTCAGTTATTGTTTATTTATATAGGGACAAGTGTAAAGCAGGAACAAATGCTGTGCACCGCAACATTTACTGCCTGGGCTAATTTGCAGTGCCAGTCCCTAGATGAACGTTTAGCAACATAAAAAATAAAGAGTTTAAAATTCTGTTAAAAACTTTGTTTTCATTCTGCATTGTTTTTGACAAGCCTGCAATGGTGAAAATTCACAATACGCATAAGTGCATCAAAGCAAGTTTAAAGAGCTCAATTTTATTTTAATTAATTCTTATCAAGTACAAAGTATGTAGTTTTAATTGTTTTTTATGCTGTTCAGTTCAGCTATCAAACATTTATATCCATGTCCCTCTCTGTTTGTACACTACACATATTTCCCACTGGATTCTGGACTGAAAAAGTGCTGAAGCTGAGTAAAATGGTTGTTCTACACAATTCTCACATTTTTGGAAAGTATACAGTAAACTTAAAACTTTAAATTCAAAACGTTTTATTGTAGAACAAATACTCTTTTTATTAATGTCACAAAGGGCTGGTGCTGGTGAACCCAATTGTGCAGGCAAGCAGGCAAAGACTCAGGATAATTATATAAATAAATGATTTATTAACAAAACAAAAGAGAAAACAGGGCAGCAAAACAAACATGGAATTATCAGGAGGTATTCACACAACAGACAGCCATTACCAGTGGACAGAAGACAATGCCAGGACAAGGAGTGAGACAAACACACATGCTTAAATACAGGAAGACATCAATTAGACAAAGTGAAGACACCTGTGAGTAATCACAGATGCCAAAGACAGAGACTGAGGACGCAAGATATAAACACGACACAAAATGGAGCCAGATACTTAACGAAACACAAACCCTATAAAGACAGAAACAGAGGATGAGAAGAAAGCAAGACAACACACCACCAGGGGACAAAAACCACAACTCCTACAATTAATGGTTACCTGACAGTGTATACAATATGGACAAAAACTGAAAAGGTCAAGTTTTCAGTAATTTTTGAACTAATACAGAATAAAACCTATAAAATATAATACCATTTTTTTCAGTGCAAACTTTAATAATTACAACAATTAAAAGTAAAATGTTGGGTTTCTTGGCCAAGTTTAGTTTTTTAACTCTTGTATTTTTGGTCTGCTGTCTTTTTGGAGGTAACAACGGATACTCATGTAGCACTTAGAAAGATGGCGTCACAATGCCTTTCCTCTGTAGCATAGACTGTGCTGTGGTTGGCCATGTCAGTGCAACAATCTGAGTCATTAATTATACACAAGAGTCAAGACAGACCACATGATGGGACGATGGACATCCTGTGTGTCAATCATTTAAGAACCCCCGTGTCATCTGCGCCGACCATGTGTCATCCATGTTGGATTCACCATCATGTTCAGATACAGTCAAATTTGTTTGTTTTTGTTGAAGACACCCCCCCCCCCCCCACACACACACACACACGAAATTCACTGAAATAACTATAATCTGACAAAAGTAATAGTAGGAAAAATGTACTAATATCAACTAATGGAAATCTGTCACAGGTTTTGAAATATGGTTCATTAAAATTATATAAAAAATAAAATAATAAAATATAAAAGAAGCTGGCCTTGCCAAAAAGGATAGTACCTAATCTGACCGTAAATTAATGTGTGTCCTGCAATCTGCATCAGAAGTGTCTTCAATCATGTAATTAGTCTGTCTGCCAATTTAATGAGAGAAAGGTAGTCACTGTGCTGTTTTGGAACATGGCGTGTTTACTGCCAAGAACATGGACTGCTAAAAGTTCTGGACAGAGTTGTCTTAGGAGCTTAGAAAGGCAATCACTGACAAGCAGTAAATGTCAGTATCTGAGTATTTTTGGTTATTCCTGGTTTTATTTTATCTTACGTTATCGAGTATGAGTCAGTTTCTGTTTCCTTGTATGTTCCTATTGCCACCAGTTCATTCCTGTCACTACTTTCCACAGTTTCTGCTCATGTAGTCAGCCATGCCCATTTATACCTTCTCACTGTGTCCCTGTCACACTTCTGTTTGTCAACCCTGGTCCATATAATCTCCACAGATTAGTGGAGCATCACGTTTCACATCATGTCTGGCTCTCTTCATTGTTTTCCTCGGTGATCACCTTGAGGTGTGTTTTTGTGACTGTTGCCACGTAGGTCTATTTGTTTTGTTCATGGTATAAAGTTACCGGAGCTCACTTTCTCAGCCTGCATTGCTGGCTTCCTTACATTCAAGACCCTTGACAGTAATAACTATAAAACCATCTCCATGCAACTTGTTGTTCTTGTGGCTACAGCTGCACAGATTATTCAGAAGTTTAAGGTCAACATGACTGCAGACAATCTCGATGTGACTGCAAGATGCAACTGATGGCTAGTTGCAGAGAGGAATAATATGAACGACCATTAAAGAGTGCAGAACAAACTCCAAAGTTCACCAGTGTTGGATCACAACATCAGTCACTTTTGGAGCTAAGCTGGACTTAATGGAATGCGACTGAGACGACACTAGATTTAAAGTCAAATCATCAACAAAGGAAGACTGAAATATATATATAT